CCAAATGCAAGCACAGCATGTACCAGACTCTTCCCTGAGGCCTTGAAAGCTGCGCAACAAGACCAGTTAGCTGTTGGTAAGGTCTTGTTTTGTGGAGCAGTTTAGGAAGTAAGTACTGTCCATTCCATCCCTCTGCTCTTATTATTATTGATGTTTTAATAATAAGGGCGCTGAGAGTGAATAAAGGAGAGCAGATCTTCCCAGAAGTGGGACCAACTGCACATTTCTCAGATTTGATGTGTGGGTAATGAAGTTGGTTGTCTCTAGCAGTGTCACACCTCCAGCTGAAAAAAAAAAAAAAAAAGCATTTAGTTTAAAATCAGGGGATTTAACATCATTTTCAGTATTTTTCTATTAGCCTGCTGATGCAGTAGCCTGTAAGGCTTTGGGTTTTAAGCTTTTCTGTACAATTATCTGAACTAGGAGCTTATTTGAAAATGAAAAGTGGGATTTTCTCATATCCCAAGGACTGCAGAGCTATGGGTTTAAGAAATAAGCAAATATCAGGAAAGTTGCAAATAAATGTTGAGAAACGGCAGGAAAGAATGTAGGGAATAGGTCAGTCTCCTCACTTAGCAACTAGGGAACGAAGCAGAATTATTTTTCTCCACAGTATCTAAGTATTTGCAGCTTTGGGGAAGAGAAGGAGAAACCGACTAGCTTGAGACTTGTCAGATGCCAATCTCTAAAAGGCTGAATATAGGGTGGATGCACCCTACCAGACATAAGCAAAAACCTTTGCTCCTTGCTTGAAGTGCCTACCTGTGACTGATAACTTTGCCTGCTAGCTGTCTGATAGAATTTTCAAACCCCTCCTACATTTTCTACAGTATGTCAAGAGCTGATATGCTGAAAGCTATAATCCATCCCAGGAAATAGTTGCCTTTCTGATTTCATGAAGCGACACAAAACCTGACTAGAAGTACTGTAAGTGCTCAAGATGAGGGATGGCACAAGAATGCCTGTGCCTGTATTATGTCTGCCTGCAGTAGACTAAAATAGATGATTACTTCTGGTTAAAGAGGAAAAAAAAGAAAAGAAAAGAAAAAAAAAAAGATTATTTTCTCACTTCTCATGGAGAAATGCAGCAACAAAAATATATTAAAACTTCATAAATTGAATTAGGTTAATAATATGATACCAGACTGTGAATTTTAGAACCTATTTGCAGAAAATTAACTTATCTTGCTGGAATAGCAAAGATGGATTCATTCAAAAGCATCTTTCCAGATGCTTTATGTTTTCTGTCTCTTTCCCAGGGAAACATTTCCTCTAGAAGACATAATAAGAAACACTGATGGATGGCTGGAACATATGTAGTTACTCAATTAATCTTGCAGTTCATATGTATCTACTGTCGATCATGAAATCTTCACCTCTTCCTGAGCAGATAGTACTGCTTTTGCAGACACATGTCCCTGTAGTATTCAGACTGTGATTATTTTAATGATTTTTCTTACAATTCTGTAATATAGAATATTAGCCTCTGATTACATTTGTGTGGAAATGGCCTTAGTTTTCTCTAATGGTCTCAGATAAAATTCGATAAATTTATTTCTCAATGAAATCAATGTAAGACATCAGTTAGTTCTAAGATTTTATTATTGCGTTCACCAGAAAGTTGTGCCTCAGGGCACTGACTTTATAAGATGCAAGCTGGCAGGCTTGAATGTTCTTTTTTTGCTCTATTTGTTCACCTGGGGGAGTCACAGTATTATTACTTTTCTTTGGAAGTGGCTAAAGGTTGTAAGTATAATGAGCTTAGGTTGTCTGTGGTCTTTTCTAAAACTACTGTTGTGCCAAATTTGCACACACTTGTTTGACTGATCCCAGAAATATTACTGCAGAGAGCAGTAAAACCCTGCTGATTCCATAGGAAATATCATTATTTTGGAGAGAGATATATGTGTGTTTTATATTGCTGCAGGTTTTTATTGCTTTAAGGGTTGGCAGATCAGTAGCACAGGAGCAGGGTCCAGCAGGAAACCAATTGCACTGCCATTTGCTGGCTTGCTTTGCATTTCACCTTTCTCACTTGGTTCTTAGGTTCATCAGCATTCCCAGCACTGTCAGAAGTCTGTTATAGCCAGGGAAGAAGTATTTAGAGCACACACTTCATAAAACATGCCTCAAAATATTCTGCTGGAGTTGCCAGTGCTTTTGAAGACCAAATGCTTTGAAATGGCTGGTGTATACAGATGCACACATACTCCTTTGCTGTCTGAGCAGTCACAACTCCAAGCATTTCAGCGCACACTAGATGTGTAGTGTTGCAGCTGCATGTCTAATTCCTGTTGTTCTAACTAACTCTGCGCTTTTATCCAGCTGCCTTGATGCCATTGTCCTATTTCTCTTCACACTGTGAGTTTGGACTCCTACAAGTGGCTGGTCAGAAGCTTTTACACTGTAGGTAAAGCCTACGCTGCACACTGCAACAGCATGTAGGGGTACTTGAGGCAACACCAAGAGTGCTCATCTGTACAGTTCTCTAGAGAGAAAATCGACCCCAGCTTCAGAATCATAAGAGCTTCAAGCACAGACAAACTGAAAGTTTTGCTTCTCTCAAGATCTGCTGGCTGAGGCTGGGTGCTGTGAGGTTTCTCTGTAGGTGAATCAGAGGGCCCTGTGCTGTGGTCTGGGGAGTAGTGACAGGATGGTGCTTGCAGCAATATTCATAGTGCTGCCTGCATTGAAATTCATTTAAGTTCCAGAGGCAGAGAACAATACTTACGCTGTTTCTTGAAATGTTTGATACTTTTCCTGAAAGCGTGTCCTCTCCTCTGGCCTCTCAAAAAGAATACTGGAAACTTTCCCATCCCCTGTTTGTCTCCACCATTTTATTTTGGCTTTTCCAGTTCACCATAGATAATTAATTGCTATGATCTCTCTCACCTGGGTGAGAGAAATGAAACATGGACTCAGAGCTGTCAGCAGCATGGCAGCCTTCTGCAGGTCCATTGTGCAGGTCTATTTTCACCTCGGGAGCTATGAATTTATCATCACTGATAGTGGGCAAACATGGGGTTGCTCATTTAGGTCACTGCCAAGGACAGCACTCTTCAACAGAAACATAAGTCAGTGTTGGGATCCTTAGTAATGTATAGGCAGAGGTATAGTGCCCATCATCAGGATGCTGTAAAAGAAACCTCTCAGTATTTATCTGAAACCATTTCTGATGGGAAGACTGAGATTATTAGGAATAAACAACTGCTAAAGGAAATAGCACTTCTCTTACTGCACTGAGTTACTGAGACTTGCAAAGGCAAAGAAATGGAAACAGCACCTGTCCTGTTCTCTGAAAGGTGGTTTTTATTCTTTTTTTTTTTTTTTTTTTTTTTTTTTTTTAAATCTAAAAGAATATATGTGTGTATATGGTGCACGTATGTATAGCAAATGGGAAAGCAGGTATGCAAAGTGTAGATTATGAATAGTGTAATTATGAATCACTGGGAAATTAGTCAGGTTTTTTTTAATCCTCAATGCCTTTGATTTCTTGAAAGTGTTACGAAAAGGTGCATGTGCCTATTATCATTAGCGTGCAATTTTTCTGCATTTCATAAATTAGTAAAAGAAGAGACTGCTTTAGGGCCAGGACAATGTTGTATTTCTTGTTATATACTTCTGTATATGAGCATATGAAAGAAACAGGTGAAGCAAATAAGCTACTGCATCAGTGGGAGAAAAGTGTTGAAATCTAAGCTGTAGTTGAAGCAGTGGAAATAAAGTATAGCCATGGTTATATGGTGTTGGAAAGTGCAGTCAGGTATGTAAAAAAGGAAATAATACAAAGTGGAATAATTCCTGAGTTAACCACTTGGGAGACTTCCAGAGATGAGGAGCTGCAGGATACGCCACTGCCAGGTGTGACGGCAGGGCAGTAAGAAGGGGTGACACAAAGAGTGAAGTGGTTCTGGAAGGGTTTAAGTGAATGACCAAGAGGTACTGAGTGAAATGATGCATTGTGCTGCACATGATGAGGTAAAGACTTTGAGAAGTTTTTTTTTTCACTTATAAGAGGGAAGTACCAGTACCAACATGTGGTTTCACACAGAATTGCCACTTACAGAGCACAAGGTCCATGCTGCGCAATTGTTTTTTTATTCCCGTAATTTAATAATGTCCTAGTTTGGGAATACAATTGATTCTTTAGGGGGAAAAAAATCATGAATCCATTAAGTTAAACTTTCAATAGACTTTAAAAGGCTTTATTAAACTCTAAATATCCTATTAAAGTGATCATCTTAATAATGAAAGGACAATAAAAATGAGAACGTGCCTATATCACAATCATCTGCAAAATCAACTGCCTTAGTCCTGAGTACAAATGCATGTGTGAAGTCTCTTTAGCTGGAGGCACACTCAAGCACAGGAGCTCACAGGCTTCATCACAGCAGGAGAATCACTCTTGCTCTGAGAACAAGATGCTGTGTGTTTCACAGACACTTCTCACTCCTCTCTGGCTCAGATTAGGAAACTCCCTGTGAGTCACTTGGCCTAGTCTTGTCTTTGTGATTCGGAGTTATAAAGTGTGATGAAAAAAAAAAGTCACTTCCCCCTTCCTAAATTGCAAACTTTTACACCTTTTCCAAGCAATGTTGCAAAGTTTTCTATTTTGAAAGACTAAAAGGTAAAGAAAAGTGTTTAGTTCTCATGGAAATGAACGATGCATTGGGGGTGCAAAGGAGGAAAACTTGAGCTTTCATCCTCCTTCCCCCTCCTCAACCTGGTTTCTTTTTCCTTGAAAAAGGGAAGAACTCACTTTGGTGAAATAACTAATTTGGAATATCAATTATCCATCAAAGAGAGCTGGACTTACTGAGCTGTCAAGAGGCTTGTCACTGCCACATGCAGGCCTTCAGAAGTTAAATCTGAGGAGGGAAGATATTAGAAATCTTTTCCTATATGACACACTGTCTCTCTTGCTAAAACAACCCCTAATTAGTTCTTCTCTCCTCCCCACCCCTCTTTTTCTTTCTTTTTTTTTTTTTTTTAATATGCAGCACCAGGGAAAAATTGGAGTAAAATTTAATGTTGGCACAGATGACATCGCTATCGAAGAAATCAACGCCATCATTAATGATGGAAAATACCACGTAGTACGTTTCACGAGGAGCGGTGGCAATGCCACTTTACAGGTGGACAACTGGCCAGTTATCGAACGCTACCCAGCAGGTAAGGGTTTGCACGAACTTCTGTGAGTAAAAGGGGGATCTGTGGAGTTCTGATCGGTTTGCTCCTCTTTTAATGCAGCGTAAGCTCTTTCTCAGTGTTTTAGTAGCTAATTAAGTAGTTAAAGAGTCTGGAGCAATATGCAGATCGTGATGATGGCATTTCCTAATGAAGTTAAAGGCAGAAATTCAGGTTATTGCTGGAAATGAAAGATACAGTTATCAGGGCATGAAATAGTGAGTTTGCTTCTTGTTTTCATTTGCTTATATTGGATTATTGTTTTAGGGGGGGGGAAAGGCTTTGACAAAAGCTGCACAGTAAAGTGACTCTCAAATCGATCTCCAAATGATTGGGTAAAACATTTCTGAAGAAAAGTTGTCCACGTTCTTTTAATTACAAGAGGTTATTAAAGCTCTCTGAAATTGTGAATATAGTGGAAGTGTGAAAAAAAAAACCAACCATAAATGAAAACGTGCATCAGTTATTATTTGTACAACCAACCAGTCTTCACATAAAATGTAAGCCGTGTAATATTATAAAGGTTGCTCCAAAAGTAATGCCTCCTGTTTATTTCCATGGAAACTTCAAGAGATACAAAGAGAACAGTAACACTATTTGATAGAGGAAATTCTCAGCTATGAAACACTGTTCTTTACTGTAGTCACCATCATTTGCTGTGCTTTCTGCTAGCAAAGGACAAGACCCTACATGCTGCCCTCGTACAAACCTGCAGCTGTGGAGGTTATGCTGGCACTGTCACCACCGCTGAAATCCACCACCCACTGCCTTACTGTACTCACAGACACTGTCAGTGGGTTCTTCACATGCACTTCCATGTCAGACAGACACCATTGTGTCAGACTGCCCCTCTGCTGCCATCTTTCCTACAGCAACAACTGTAATGGAATATTGGTGGGAAGGTTCAACCTCTGCTGCCATTCTACCAACATCCACCCCTGAAGCTGTGGGCCAGCCTAATAAAGCAGGAAGCATTACTTTCAGAGCAGCCCTCTTTTTTCTGTGATTAATGCTGGTTACTTCAGCAGAACCACTTGTATGAATACAGGATTTCCTTGGTAGAGCCCATATTTGATTTTATGCAAATGCCATATCCTGCACATTACTGTATTACTAATTTTATTCACTTTTAAAGGCAACAGTCTTTTTCAGATATGCAGTCCATTTCTTATTGAATAGCATCACTGTGCCATTAAGGTTTACATGCAAGTCTGCGTGTTACCTCTTAATGGTGTGTGTGTTTATATTACCAAACAAAAAGCAGTGAATTCAGAGATATAAGAGAAAGGTATTATAGTTTGCCTGTTTTCTATTACCTAAATGATAGTTCTGATTCTAAATGAAAGTTTTCTTCATTTTGGGGGTGGAATAGCATGTCGAGTAAGCCATTCCCCCATAGCAGTCATTAATATTTAGAATTTGTTTTTTTATTGGTGTTTTGGTAGCAGTCCAGCAGTAAAACTGCATTGTAAAAATGAAGTCAAATACAAATATATTCCAAAATTGAAATATCACCTTTCAAATAATTTCTTGGAAATAATTAAGAATCTTAAAAATGAAAATATATATTGCAAGTGAAATAATAAATAGCAGGAATTGTTTTGTATATATATATATAAAAATATACCTATCTATCTATCTAAATGTCCTGTATGAAATGAGTGACAGTTCTGAGTGACCATAATGATTCATGGCCTCAAGATAGACATATCTCTGAGAGGGGGAAGAGGGAACACTGAATGTGAAATATGTCCCGTGTTCTTTCAGATATTCCTGTTTCTCTCTTACTATCCCTTTTGTTTTCTGACTTTTACAGTGTTTAGTAAATGGTACTTGAAATAAGATGGTAGAAACCAGAGATAAGTCTGTCTTAGTTTGTGCTCGAACTGTATTTAGCAGAACTGATATATATTACATACATGATAGATATGAAAATATTTACTGTTTCTGTTCTGTTTCTTCATAAAAATACAAAATGACTGAAAACAAGGAAGAAATGCAGTTGAGTTCTGAGGATATTGACCCACAGGATTTGTTTTTTCTCAACTTAGATCAATACAGAAAATAGGGTGATTTCCTTGGGATGGGAAATAGAATGATTTCCATGGGATGGGGTTAATAGATTGCAGGGAGGTTGGATTATTTCTGTGGAAAAATAAATAATAATAGTTTCTTTGAGCAATCTGTGTACAACCAACACTTAAAGGCATTTTCAGTTGCTTCAGCAGATGGGATACAGAATCTATTGGGTTGCTCTATTGAGGGATCTTCCAGGACTGCTGTTGCTTTTCAGTTTTCTTAGTTTCTTTAACGTTCATTTCCCTAGTAATGTTTTACAACTCTTGTATTCTTAGGCATTGCTTGTGAAGTCTTTCTCCTCCCTTTTCCATCCCTTCTCCCCCCTTCCATCATGAAAGCATCTAACCATATTTTATCTTGCCATGATGCTCTGTCATCCTGGGGCAGTCTTCACTCAAACCCTTTTTAAATGCTAGTTCCTTCGCAGACTGTTATTTCATAGAAAAGACAGGCCTGTCCAGGAGAATAAACTGCATTTGAGCAATGTTGATTGGCACCATATTAAAGACTATCACCGTCATTTCAGTTCTAAAGATAATATTTCTAAAAGTGATGTCTTAATGAAGTAAAACAACACAGTTCGGCAAGTGCTGATATGCCCAATTTACACATCACACTGCTGTTGCTGTTCTAGGGACTAACAGTACTGCTTGGCAGTAGTGATTAACTAGCTACATTTCTCATTGCTACTGTTTTTGATGGAAGACATTTTGAAAATGTACAGTATGGACCAAATTTGTTGGCATGTGCATGAGTGAGGGCTCATTAGCTTTCAGTTCAGTGCTAGAAAGTATATTCTTTTTCTGCTTTCTGCCTATTTACAGAATTTCTTCTTTCTGTATAACTTTTAATGTCTCTACTACTGTATGTGAGCACAGGCTTCTCTCTCCAACTTCTGTTGTTGTTTTCATGGATTTTTTTTGTTTTGTTTTGTTTTTCCCCAGGAATAGAAACAAAATTAGCAGCTTAATTACTATGTTTGCTATTCTTAAATACACTGGATTTCCTTTTTTAAAACAAACAAAAAATCAATTGGTTGCCTAAAGCATTGCAGCTGATCAATTCTCCTTTCTTTACTTGGAATTATTATACTTCTGGTTGGATTGTCTGAATACATTGCTTATTATTGATCAGCATCTAAAAATGCAGGGTGAAGATGTCCTGAGAGGAATTTCTAGTCACAGCTTCAGGTTTTTCCAGTTTTGTTGCCCAGGTAGCTTTCATCCAGCCCCACCTAACTTCTGCAGATGATGGCACAGGGATGGTCTCATATCCAAGTAACAGTTGGTGTTGTGTCAGAAGCAGTGCAAGTAGGAATAGGTATCCTGGGAGGAGTATGGGGATGCTGTTGGACTGTGTGGTGATGGTGTCAGGACTGCCACAGCCCAACTTGAACTAGACTTGGCAGAGGGTGCAAAGAAGAACAAGAAAGGCTTCTACAGATACATTAGCCAGAAAAGTTCACCTTTTTAGTCCCAGAAGGTGAACTCCTCTATTGGGCAATACAGGCACACTGATGAAAAATGACAAGGAGAAAGCAGAGGTACAGCAATATTTTGCCTCAGTATTCACTGAGCAACTAGTTTTCACATAGTCCTTAAGCAGATTATTTGGAAGGTGGGGACTAGGAGAGAAATGTCCCTTCCACCGTAAGTGAAGATCAGTTTTGCAACCACCAGAGGACCCGGAGCATAGATAATTTTATGAGTCCTGATGAGATGCATCCCAGAGTTCTGAGGGAATTGGCTGACATACTCACCAAGTCACTTCCAGTGGTATCTGAAAAGTCATGGCAGTCACAACTGGAGAAGTCTTTGGGGAGATGGGAGAGCTACCTTTCAGTATTTCAAGGAGGGCTATAAGAAAGGAGACAGTGTTCTTCAGACAAGGGTCTGTTGTGATAGGAGAGGGAAATGGTTTCAAACTAAAAGAAGGGAGATTTAAATTGCATATAAGGAGGAAATTTTTTTCCAATAGTGGTGGTGAGCACTGGCAAAGGTTGCCTAGAGAGGTTCTGGATGACCTATTCCCGGAGACGGTCAAGGTCAGATTGAACCGAGTTCCGAGCAACCAGATATAGCTGTAGTTGTCCTTCATTGCAGAAGAGTTGGACTAGATGGCTTTTAAAGTTTCTTTCCAAATCAGACAGTTCTGTTATTCTCTGAATAGATGAAGATCTCCAGTGTTACCACATGGCTGGATGATTTTCAGAACGAAGGGCTTAGATTTCAGCATGTACTTACATTCTTCTGGATTCCCATCAAAGTTTTTTTGACTGCAGAGCTCTACTCTTGCCACTTCTCTGAGTGCAGGGCTAAAGCTGTGAAGATGTGCACTTAAATTTTGGTGACCCTGCACATAGTGGGGGGGATTGAAACTAGATGATCACTGTGGTCATTTTCAACCCAGGCCATTCTATGATTCTGCCTTTTATTAAATGTTCATCCTGCTTTCTCCCTTTCTCATTCTGTCAGTTGCTGACAGGTAGCCTTATGATTAGAAATTGTAGTTTTTTTGCTAGGCAACTAAAATGCCTAGATCTCTACTGGATTTGTATATTCCATCTTTCTTAACTAAACTTGATATTATCTCTCTTGACCTAATGTTCGCCATTCTCCACCTTCTGAATAACTCCATTATTTCACCTTGGCTGGTTTTTCAGATAATGATTTCCCATTAACTGGGATGCATCATAATTTCCAATCATATTAAGTAGGAATAAGAAAACTGCTGACTGTGTATTCAAAGCTCCTGATCAATAGACTAAAACAGTTTCCGTGCAAATCCTCTCTGCTCCTGATAGCTTATCTTCTGTGCTTCAAAACTTTGTTGTATCTGGCTGTCCTGACTACCTGTCTGCTGTTGTGACTATAATACTGTACCGTTGCAGCAACTCCAGCTGCTAC